ATCTTGTAGCCTTGAGGGATTCATCGCTTCATTCGAAAATGTTTTTTGACAAAGAAAGCACATAGGCGACATAATTTTGTCTTCAAAAATGCCGAAGTAAAGAATCGAGTATTGAAAACTTGCTAATGATACCACTCACAGTATTCACACCGCACGTACAACACTTTACCTAGCTAGTCGCTAACTAAATGCACTTGCTTTCGTAATATCGTGGAATGACATTACTGGTTCGACCAAGCGTCTTCATTTCGTTCAGGTTGGAGCCCAGCTCCCTTTCCCTTTCAGCTGATTTTTGTCGAAGAAGGACAAATGGGTTCATGACTGAGGGGATGTTGGCGGCATGAAGTCCTCAGACATCAGTACCGCCCTTCACGTGGTACCCCTACCTGGCTGGGGTGGGATGGATAAAAAATCTGTTCATCCGTTAACGGGGGACATGAGGGCCTCATTCGATAGAGTGTCGGGGCCTTCTATATCGGGAGGGATCGTCTACAGCCTAATCTATAGCTTCCCTAACTAACGGATTTTCGTGAGTTTCCGCGCTATCAAAAACTCGCTTGAATGGACCATTACTTGCTCGTCATCTTGATCTCTTTCAGGCTGGAGCCTTGCTACCCTTTGGACTTGTTCATTACTGGCTGGATGGCGTGCGCGCTTTTATATTAGGCAGCGGGTGGGCCTAGTATTTTCGAGAACGGAAACTAGAAACTTCTCGCTTCGCATTGAAGCTTATCGCCATCTATGATACAGTTTGACAACTATTGGACAGGAAATAGTTGCTGTCTAGTCCCCTAGATGGCGTTACACGAGGAAAAGCGCGTTAAGCGTAAAGGAACGGTAAACTTTGTGTTAAAAGCAAAAAAAAAACATTTTTAAATTAACCATCGCCCCCCTAAACTGTCTCCAGCGTCCACAGCGTCCAACCACTGATTTATTTTCTATTTATGACCATTCAACATGCCATTTTGAATTCAGAATTTATATTTCTCTGAAGCAATACTGCTTTGAAATCGTTTAATAATTCAGGATCCACGTGTATTGATTTTGAAATTATTCAAAAAATGGGAATGATAACAACAATAATAAGCGATGAATTGGCGTGGCGGTAATGCGCCCGACTCACGATCGATAGGTCGTGGGTTCGATCCCCACCTCGACCAAATATTATTCTCGAGATAATTTGCAGTTGATTTGCAAATCATAATAATAATATATTTCCTAACAAACATAGAAGTTGTTTGAAGGTGGTTGACAAAGTTTCGTGGTTTATTTCATTAGTTCGGACTTACAATATCATATAAATTGATTTGGAATCCCTGAAAGAATCTATAAAAAATTTAAAAGATCAGCTAGAAAATAACAATTATATCAAGCAAGAAAACTGAAACTACAATGAAATAAAATACAAGCAACAATTAAAAATTGACCTATAAAAAGAAATGAAAATAAAAAAATTAATAACAAGAAATGAAAATAAAAAATAAAAAAAATACAAGCCAAGTTACTTCACGACGTTTCGATTGTTAGTATCCACAATCATCTTTGGGTGATGACTGGACTCATTCCTTCCAGAGGGTGCTATTTATTATAGTAATCCAGTCATTTAAGCTTGAATTAGGTAAGAATCTCGGAATTCGAGATACCCAGGTGTAAGTCTGTAAATACTTGTATATTGACACCCTAAAAGTTGTCTCAAAACCTACATATGGTAGGGTGTGAGCAACTATTAAATTTCAAGGTCAAAGGTCACAAAAATCGGTTTTTTGCGCTTTTTTTTAGAAATCTCTCATTTCCTATGGGTTTTTTGCTATTTCTATTTATTATCAATATTGTAGAATAGCTAGCTTGGCTTGTTGTTAGAATAATATAGTTTTTGTGAGTGGATGCGTTGATGAATAGAGTGGCGCGGAATATGGCATATAGTTCCCCTTTAGAAACAGGGAAGTCTCATTTTAATGAAGATGTTAGGACCAATGATCGCTGCTTCCATTCGCTCATCCGTTTTTGAAGCGTCAGTATACAGTTGAATATGATTTTGGTATTGTTATAATATAATTTGAAGGTGGTTTTTTGACTGAAGAATTAGTAGGTACAGTGTTTGTGGAAGATGGAAATACCTGTGTGTCATTCAGGTTGGCTTATGTTCTATGGAGGAAAAGTAGTCTGTTGGATAGAAAATATGTCAGGAAAAGTTACACCGAGATCCCTTGAGCCATTTTTATTCTTGCATGTAGAGGTGTCGCTAATCTAACGCTTGGTGTGGTAGGAAAAGCGGTTTCATAGAAAGGATGTAGTCGGAGTGGCTGTACTTTTGCGCCGTAAGTTAGTGTGAGGAGTATTCTTCTGCGTTCCAGCGACGGCTTATTGCCTTCACAATGAATACTTTCTATAGGGGTCGTGAGATAGGCTCCTAGAATAATGCGATGTGCAGCATTATATAGAGAGTGGTATTATCGCTATAGGTGGAATCAAGTGTGCTGGAGATTAATCTCCAACCTTTCGACGATGTTTCAAAGTATCAAGGTGATATTCGGGACACCCATCAGGAAAGAAATCAGCAGTCTCAAGAAATATTAACAATAATAAATACTTCCATTAAAATGTTACTTAGTACACGAGATACTAACCTAACTTAAAAAATGGCAGAATCAACATCTGCAAATATTAAATCAAGGCAGATATTGCTCTTTCATCTTTGTATCAAAGAGCCCATGAGTTTCAAAGTTATTTTATTGCAATTTACTAATGGAATATACGATAAGCAACATCCGCACTGCTTGGTAAACAATAATAAAACCAATCTTTTTAGGAGGGAGAATGAGAGGATAACTACTATCACTACTTGCAGTAGAGCGTTAATTCAACAAAAGATTGCGTATACATTACCAATTGACACAAACGTAATTAGATTTTAGGAAGTTTTTGATGTCTTCAAGTTCCAATTCTAGCCAATTTTGAGAACTGACAAGCATCAGGAAGAAACCCTGTATTCGAGGAAGCATGAGTTCCCTGACTTCAGGTAGGTTCTTGTCTTTGGCGTCCATGTACAAAAGGAATGCTGTGTCTTCAGTGAAAACATCGGCATGGTCAATGAATGCCCAACATTGCTCGACCAGATCTGGAGAAAGTAAAAAAAGAAGGAAAGAGAGTGCATGTATTTTTTCATTTGAATGGAAACATTTGATTTCAGTTATTTATTGATATCGTATAGTATTTATTAGCCCAACAAATATTAAGTGTTTATGAACAGGGATTACATTTTGGAAATGAAAATTTGACAAAATAATGTGGAATAATAGTGAACAAGAAGTGAATTAATAGTGAACATCAGAACACAGATAAAGAATGATTTGAAGCATACAGTTGAAAGTGAAATTATCCCAAGCTTTAAATAAACGTCTTGACTTTATAATCCTGAATGTTAAAAGTTCAAATTTGTGTCAACAAAAAAATGTGTTAACTTTGGAAATCCAATCGGAAATGAATTATTGAAAAATTAAACTACTACTGAAATATTCGGATAAGTTCATGGAATAAATGGAAAAAAATAAATGTTATGGAATCTGAAATCGGAATGATCAGTAATATGGATAAACATGAATGTTGAAAATATACAAGAATCTGGATAATAATAATTCAGAATAATATAATAATAATCTGAATAATAATTTTGATTTATCTAGATATTCAAATAATCAAGAATATTCTGATTTTTTATTAATTCCAGTCGAAATTGGACAATGATATTCGTAAATGAGGACTGAAACGGGTACCAAAATTGAATCTTGTGGAACACCACATATTACACTTATCATTCATAAAATATACCCTCTGAGTTCAAAAAGAATAGTGCAAATTTCATTCAAATAAAATATGAAATCTGATATAGACATAAAATATCTATTTGGAAAGGTAAAATTTGTATAAACCTGATGATGAAATGAAAAAGCCAGTATTACCTTTGATTTTTAGATATTTCGCAGAATTAAAAATATCCAATACGTTCTCTCTGTTTAATTCCTTATATGAAGGTTCACCGGTGATCATCCATTCGTAAATGAAAGCGAAAGCGCTAGCACTACATTTGTCCTACAACAAAACAATAAATAAACCAAATATACCAATAGCATATTATCCTGATTCAATCTCACTGATGGCAATTCAACTTTTTTGACCGCTATATAGGCATCAAACAATTCCGAGTAGCACTGCAGCACAATAAGATGACAGTTAAATTCTTCGTTATCGATATATACTTTGCAGTCAGCATTCCTGAAAATATTGAACGAATCAATTGATGTTCCCGTTGTAAGTTTGTTAATGTTTCACTATCCTAGTAGTTCGGAATAAGGTATTCTTGAACAATTTCTATTACAAAATATCACAATTGAATTCTCTCACTGACTCTAGTGGTCATACGAGAGAGAAAGAGAGAGAGAGAGAGAGAGAAAGAGAGAGAGATTGAAGTAAAGAGCAGAAATGGAAATAGTCACTTGTTCGTTTTTGTGAAGTTAATTTACGAAATGGACTGACACAAAACAACTTCTCCCCTGGCTAATACCACGAAGGGCGTTGGATCAAATCTGACAGGTGTCAGTGCAGGATTCTTCAATGAAGTTATTCGTGCATATGCTGTTTGCGAAATAACATTTTTGGAAAGATTAGTTTATAGAAAAGAAAGGTTTTGGCTTTCTACTTCTCCGTCTTAATACAAAAATGGGAGAAACTTGGATCTTTTCTAAAAATATATTCCTTTCAATTCATACAAGATTTCTGTGGCTGGGATTAGAGTAACTATGCGAATGAATGTCATTAAAGTATTGTCATCGTGACATGAGAAGATTTAACTCATCCGTAATGTTATGAATGAATTGGGTAAAATGTTTAGATTGATGTTGAAGAGGCAATGAGACAAGTGTCTTATTCCGAAACATTGATGTTCGCCATTGAGGATGATAGTGTTCCATGTAAGTGAAATTTTACCTCTTCGATATACGATATTGTGTAGCAATCCTGTGAATAATATCTGAGTCAAGTCCATAACAAATGTTTGTTTGGAGTCCAAAATGAATAAAAAAACTGTTTTTTGTATAATCAAATGTTAATAAGAAAGTTGTTGCTTAAGAAGTACTATTTCTGTCGTGTAATTCAATGTTTACATAAAAGTAGTTGTTTCGAGAGGGATTTTTCTCAAAAAAGTTACTGTCTGAAAGTAGCTTCTATGCATGATCTACACTTCTCAGTGAAATTTTTTGCTTTCCTCCTCACTTTGGAAGTTTCCCACATTTTGTATGAACATGAAGGAGATCCAAAACATTTCATTCCCAAAAATTAGTTCCTCTTAAAAATATATCCTTTTCAGTATAAATTCTTATGAATACATTTTCTGGTACTGATCAAATGTTCCCATTTAATGAAACTTCTATTGCCGATCCTTTTTTTTTTCGAAGTATGTTCGTGTCCAATTTTGAATCAGCATTGAGAAAATTTTCAAATAATTAATGTGTGAATAGATGTGAATGTGAAACAGTACCACCTTTTGTACATCTATTGTAGGTTGGTTTGCTGTATCATTTGAGAGGAATATGAAAACAAGCCTCTTCTTGTTAAATTTGACATTCTAATATTTAGAAACGATTTTTGAGTTCTTAAAGAGTTCCATTCCGTCTTTTTGTTAGCTCACTTCACAAACCTTTGTATGACTACGAGAATAAATTGACTGGACCACATATTCTGGGTTCAAAAGTAACTCGGTTGGATATAACTTACCTTCATGCAAATGTGCACACGAAAAAAGTTACAGCCCTTAGAATATACAAAATTAAAATAGATTTTTTTCCAGTACTAATAATAATAATAAGTCCACGGGAGGCCGTGTACTTTTGAGTTTGGAGTGTCTACATGACAGAATGGTACTGAATACAGCCTGTAAAGTCGTCAGGAGTTCGGATCCCCTTCTCTGCATGGTCCGTGACCACGAGAGAGCAGGAATTGGAGCATTTCTTCTTAGGGCAGCTGCCCGAGCAGCTGATGAACTCGGTTTAGTTTTCGACTGAACGAGGTGACCTCAACTCTGTCACCGAGTTGGAACCCGGTCAGCAAAAAGCTCAGATAAAAGACGCAGAGATCACCTTACTTCTGCGGAAACACAAAAGTAAGCCAATGCATGGGGTCTTCTTCAATAACATTGGAGACCTTGGCTTATCAAAGCGTCTGACGTTCGCTTTTATCAGGTTGAGTGGGCTGAAATCGGAAACTGAAGGATTTATTATGGCTTGCCAGGATGGTGTCTTCAACACCTTAGTCTACCGCAGTCGTGTGATGGGTATAGAGGTTCCCGACACAAGGTGTAGGGCCTGCCGCGAGGCGCCCGAGACCCTAATGCACTTGCTATCAGCATGTCTGGCATATGCGGTCTTGGCCTATATGCATCGACATAACGCGGCCCTAAGACTGCTATATTACCATCTACGGCACTCTTACGGTATTGATAAGACACCTGTGTTGCCCTACGCTCCGGGGGTATTGAATCCGTTGTAGGGAATGAGAAGTGCCGAATTTATTGTAACTACTCGTTCCCCACCTTCAGGCTCTTACAAGCTAATAAGCCTGATGTAGTCACCAGAGCAAAACGATATTTGTCGTGGAGTGCTCAGCTCCTGGCGGGACAAATTTCGTCAGAAAAGAGGAGGAAAAACGGATAAAATATCGAGATTTTCTCTTTGAGCTCCGCAGACTCTATCCAGACCACTCTGTCAAGATGGTTGTTGTGATTATTGAAGTCCTTGGTGAAATGATGCCCTCTCTACTCTCGAATCTTTAAAATATACCGGCTTGCCGCACTAAGGCAGAAATCTTAGCCGGACAGATGCAGAAGGCTGTCATTCTTGGCTCACTGCGCTTTCTCAGGGCACATGATTATCGGACCCAATGATCACTTACCCCACGGTGTGGGGAGTGGTCGTTGGTTGATAATGCTGGCGCGCCCTCCCGAATGAATCGGTGCTTCGGGGGATAGGCCTGACCAGCGCATACTTCGGTGAAAAAAGAATAATATTTTATTGATCCATCAGAATGATCCTAAAAGAAGCAATTGGACAAGTCAGTACATATCAGATACATATTCCATGAACTGTTCAACATTTTATAATGAAAATATGTAGTTCAATTTATGACCTAACTTTTTGTTACACTGTGTATAAATGCGACCAAGCTATTGAAAATCTATACATTCAGTTTCTCTGCTGTAGTGTGATATGATTTATCGTATTTTGAATTAATAATAACAAAGACTTTTCCCCTAATGTACCAAAAAAGCAAACGTTACGTCGCGTCATGCCATATGCAAACCGAAGTTATGTGATGACATAACATGCCTTTGAATTGGTTGAAAAATTATTGTGAAGTTAGAAGTGAAATTATTAGAGGTAACGTGAGTAATCCCCACTCAATCTCGCTTATTGTATTACTCCGTTCTTACATCCTGATTATATTGATACTTACGTATAATTTGTGATTCGTGAATACAATTCTAGATATAAATTTTTCTTCTCGGGTAACAGAACTTTCTGCCATGAAATGTCATCGGCACCGTTATAACCTAACCTATAAATTTATTGTAATGCACTCATCAGTTTCCTAAACTTTCTATTATTTTTCACCTTCCAAGATTCAACTCTGGATCTAATATTTCCGAAGTTTGTTTACTTTCGTACTCCGATGCCTCCTTGTTACCACTACGTATGGGAGTATTTCCTATAAGGGTGCCCAAACTCGAAAAGCCTGCCTGCGAAAAAAATAATTTCAATGTAATGAATAAGAGCTTGGTTTTGAATGAATTCCATATTTGGTATACTAGGTTTTTTTTCACTGAAAAGTATTTTGGGGTACCTGGCTCATGATCGTGTCCATTGCAGAAGTCTTGGAGACGTCCGTCGCTTCATGTGCCATTTTACTATGATTTGTTTCAGGGTGGATGCTAACTTTTGTATTTTCTGGATCAGCTACAAGAACGCTCAATTTATTCGAAGAAAAAACAACCTGAAATGATATATTAAGGCTTGAAAAAAATCATTCGCAGGACTGTATGAAAAAATGTTCATGCAGGAATTCAAAATCATTTTATAAATCTTGTCAGAATAATTTTTAGGGAAGTACCTTTACGAGAAAACATTTCCATGTAAGCATTTTTCCAAATGATTATTTTGAAGAGAAAATCATGTGTGAAATACCTAAGTAATATTTCTTGTCTCAGATGCTTCATGTGATCTCAAAAAAAGGTATTTCTTTTCATTGGGTGCAAGGATTTCATTCCTATTATCAGAAACTTCGTTTCATTGGTAGGCGAAAGAATAGAGTGATGTTCTTTCATATCATAATCAAATGACCTCTTGCTTTTCCATTTTTTGAGACAGTTTCAATGCAAAGTATGTTTTTTTCTGATTAAAATTTTACACATAGGAAATGAAGGTCTGAAACTGAATCATTTGGAAGCAATAGAAATTAATAAACTCAAAAACTAAATATTCTAATAAATGACCAACTGGATTTTAATACATCACCATTATTGAAACTTTTTTTCTTAGAAAAACGGAGAAAAAATGATTATTGATGTAGAAGTGAGGTAATATGCTTCAGGTGATCATAATTGAAGAGCTACTTCAGATAGAGGATTAGGTAATTTGTTGGAGGTAGTCTCAAATCACTGTTGATAAAGCTACCGTGTTAGCGAAACATGCCATGATATATTTTTCAAATAAAGTTTGTGGAGATCAAATTTCGAGGTGTAGTTTATGAAAAAAGCAAAGTATGTAGTCTAAACAAACATGCTACCCTTCACTATTATTATAATCATTACTCTGGCTGCGTGACATCATCACTTTATCGATAGTGAGGCGGAAACCAGATGTAACCATAGACAAAAATAGCAGGTGACATGTTAAACAGGTCGAAACTCTTTAGACTGAAAGTGAATGAACAAAGAGAAAAGGGATTATTTACAAAAATTGGAAAACGGATAGTTTTGATGGAGAATTAGTAAATTGAATTTAGAAAAACCGTGAGATAAAAAATTTTCTTGAATGATTTTTCACACATAAATTCATAATTATAAATCAGAGTTTCAAAAATCATATCCACATTTTACTTTTACTTACTGGTAGAAAAACTTATTTTACAGGCCTAAACTATGTCAATAGATGTAGGTCCGAATAAATTTTATTTATGATAAATACTATGAAAAACGTAATTTATAGTATATTTTATAATCACATGATATTCTTCATTCAGTAAGGTTTGTTGAAGAGTAGTTGAGTATATGTGTAGCAGTGGATATTTTTCCCTAATAAAATATTAAGAGAACACAGGTTGTATTTTTTTAGTAGGCTATGCCTTCGAAATATGACAGTTATTATTATAATTGTTGTATGTGGTTATTATTATTGTAATCTCAGTTTTCGTCAATATGGCAAATATAGTATGTATACACAGCTTATTCATTTTGCACAGATTTTAGTGACATTTGTAATTATCATTTTTAAGTGAGAACTGATGAAAATTCGAAACTTAAGGGTCATTGCTATAAAAAATTCGTATCATTCGAAAAGTTCTCAAACCTGTTTGGGAATACTTGCATTGATATTCTACTCTATTTGCTCTCAGGACATAATCGATATTATTACTGAAACGCAAAATATAAATTTATTTTTTGTATAACCGATTCCTTCGCCAAAATATAAGATGGAATTTCAGTACAAACCCTAAAATTACATGTGGACACTATACTATAACATATTTTCTATCGTAAGAGATAATTATTTGACTTCGACTGGTTGAAGTTCTTTACCTACACACTATTATTGAATTGAAAATTATCTCTGAAATATATTTTAAAGCCGTAGCATTACATTTACCCTCCGCCAATATTTAGGAAATATAGAAAGTATTCGGTTACTTCAAAAGTTTCGTTCGTTTTTATGAGTCAAATTCAAACTGTAATATCTGTAAATACATATTCCCATTGATTAAAATACACGTCAACCAGTACACTTTTGCCAACGTAGGAAGAGGCTGCAAACAGAGCTTCAATTGAATTGTTACCAAAAAAATCGGCTCAGCAGTACGACATCGCATATTTTAATTTTCTCAGCTGGTGTAGACTTCGTCGAAGGAGATTTCAGCGAAACCGTCTTCTTAGCATATCTAGAAGAGAAATCAAAAACTTGCGATGTTGAAGAATCTTTTGATATATTTGAATTATCTGAGTCGACAATTTCATGTGCATTAACATTTAATTCTTGAAGTGAAGAGGGCGATGCTGTAACGCTGGAGCTAGCATTTTGGATTATTCTTTTAGCAATATCTTTTTTATAAGAAATAGATTGATCGATGTAATCTTCATCTACTGTTGTAGACTTCCGTCCTTCCTACTTCTTAATATCCGTTACATTTGTTTCTGATTGTGCTAGTAAATGAGCAGAAGACCTTCTGAAACAGTGACCTGTATATTCCTTTGGTTCCGGGAGGTTCAGAAACTCAGCAATGGTAGAGGGCATTTTTCCAAACGTGTTTATATCAACTGGGTAGGCACTGCATTTTTAATTTGTGTATTTCAGAAAAAAACGTTGTTGATTGATAACAGAAGGCGTAATTCAACGTATTTATTAAAATAGTCAATGATTTTTTCAACAATATTTTTTCCAACAATGGAATTTGAACAATCAATGATTCATCCATTAATTTAATGTCTTCTGTTGATAAATGGCACAGCTCTTCACGCCGGCAGGCTCCATATAGTCCAAAAATAGTAGCAATTTTTATCATCAAATATTTTTCATTTGGCGCCTCATTTATAAACCTCTGGACTTGTTCAAACGTTTTTGATTTTTTTAGCTTAAAACTTTCATTTTTCGCTTTAAGAATGCTATTACTTTGAAATATTTGCTTGTATTAGCGCCATTTTTAACGAGCGCACTCCACTTTATCGTTGAAAACTGGTTCCAACAACTTGACGAGTTCTATATTTTTGATTTCTCTTCTAGATAGACTAAGAAGACGGTTTTGCTGAAATTTCCTTCGGCGTTTTTAAGTCTTCATCAGCTGAGAGAGTTAGCATATTCGATGTCGTACTGCTGAACCGATTTTTTGGTGACATCAAGATATGTCAAAATATGTTTTTATAGAAATATTGAATTCATCTATTTTATTATGAAAACAGGATAGTTGAACAAAAGTTGAAAGTAAATTTTATTTTGTTCGTCAAATTCCTAAACTCACTACGCTCGTTTCGCAAACTTTTACACTCACAAAATAAAACATTACTTTAAACACTCTTACCATAAATAGCTATTTTCAGTTGATTCACACCAAATATACTTGATAGATGATAAATATGTATCATAGCGATGCATCACATGATTTTACAGTTTTCAAAAATGTTCAGAACTAATTATCCGTTTTCACATTTTTGGTAAATATAATTTGAAAGAATTTATTCGAAATATTGTTTACATATTATGACATTTTCGGAACTGATTTGATGAATGTTACACAATACAACCAAAAAAGTATAATACTCACCTGAGATGTCTCGACTTTGAGATTTCCACTGGGAGTAAATTTGAAGGGGAAGCTACCACTATTTACTTTGTTGATCCGTGAGCTAGATTAATTTCTGTGTTTCAAAAAATTTTGTGACTTTTCAAACAATTTTGAAGAATGAATTGAAACTTTCTTCATCTCGTGATGAATATTTATAATGAATGTTTTTTTCTATGCTGTTGAAATTTCTATTGAACAAACAACTAGAATTTTGTGAACGCTTGAGGAAGCTATTTTATAACGAAACATGTGATGTTGGGGGACTAGTGGGGCTAGGGGACACACCTCTATGCGGGATGTGTGAACAGGAAGATGAAACTCTCAGGCATATCCTATGCGACTATCCAGATTTATTGTCAATAAGAAAGTGTGTGTTCGGCGAGTATTGGCCTACACCTGCCGATATGAAGGAGATGTCTCCTAGTGACCTGTCCACCGTCCTGGAAAGGACAGGATGGACGATGACCTAGGAGGACAACTCCTCGGGAGGATGTACAATGGGTCACATGTGGCCTAAGTGCTGTGGGACTACACTCACCCTCCCTACTCTACAGATACAGAAACAATACTTGTAAATTTTCATTAAATCTTGAGGAAATCAATACCATCTATCAGCTGAAGGTGTACGAAGAATATTGGTTTCTACTTTCTTCAGTCATCCCTGACTGGAAAAACATGGAGACTAAAACGAGACATGGTATATTGGCTATACACGATGGTGGTTAAACCTATGATAACATACGCATCTCTGGTCTGGTGGCCAAAGGTGAAGCAGGCGACCGCCATCAACAAACTAGGCAAGGTGCAAAGACTTGCATGTTTGGGAATGACGGGAGCAATGAGAACTACCCCAACAGCTGCATTGGAGACACTCCTGAATCTACCTCCTTTACACTTTGTGATAATGGGGGAGGCCAGGATGGGCCAATTCAGACTGGAAAACTCACCGAACTACAGAAGATCGGACCGAACAGAAATTTCGGAACAAGTGGAGGAGCACATATTGAATATGTGCACGGACCACATGACACCGAAGTACACCTTTAACACAAACTTCACGGCCAAAATCATAAGCCGTGAAGAGTGGAAGACCATTAGTCATCCCAAAAACATGTTTGGAAAAAACACCTGGTATACAGATGGATCGAAGATCAAACATGGAACGGGAGCTGGAATATACCAAGCGGATAGAAATCTAAACTACAGCTATCCGCTAGGACTATACACATCCGTATTTCAGGCGGAAATGTATGCTATCTTGCAGTGTGCAAGGCTTAAAAAATTGAGACCTCAAAGAAATGAGCGGATCAATATTTTTACAGACAGCAAGAGCGCACTAGGGGCTCTGACAAACCCGAAGATGACATCAAAACTGATCTGGAAATGCCATGAAGAACTGAATGAACTTGCAAACAGGAAGAAATTAACTTTGTACTGTGTGCTAGGGCATTCAGGAATCACAGGTAATGATAAAGCTGATGAATGCGTTAGACGCGGATCATCAACTTCATATATAGGTCCTGAACCAGTTCTGGGGGTATCAAAATCACTGGTACGAAACCAGATTAGGATATGGACCAATAAGAAGTACACAGAGTACTGGACAAAAGTACCTGGCAACAAACACAGTAGAACCTTCATTGGGGAACCGTCCAAGAAAATAACCGAAGAACTACTTCAATAACGCAATAAGCCCAAGAGGCTGCAGTGTTTCCTGGAGACTTGGATTAAATGGACAAGTCAGACAGCTCCCAAGGTAATAAAAAAAAATCTGATATTGGCTACTGAAGTTGGTGGAAAAAGTAGATGTTCAAACAAAAAATGGAGATGAAAGAATTCAATGTACAAAACTTCGCAGAAATTGGTTCATATTGGATAACAAAAACATAGAATAATCGAAAAAGGGGCTGTCTCATTTTTCATATTTGAAATGCAGGTGGTGGAACCTACAATCGAAATCCGGCAATACTAGTCTTCACGATATTTCTAAAATAATAATTTATAATCGTGATTTGAAAAAGATTATTCTTGTCCCCCTGAATAGAGGCGTGTTGGCTGTCCTTGTTCATCTTTCACTGCCTGAACCACTGTGCATGCTGTTTTCGGCGAGTACATTGGCTTGGGATGTGCGGGTTGAGCAAACAGGCCATCGGATGCCTGCTTCCACGTAGCCCCGCTGGACACGGGAATGACAGAATCACGTGTGGTTCTGTTATTCCCTAATTGAATGGCATCCCAACGATGGTTTAATCCTAAGGTGTGTGTATCCGTGCCGAGAGGATGAATGACACTGAGCCTACCAGCTGTCTCTACGGAACCTTCGAGATACCGGGTGCTTTCTCGTCGTAGGATCGTCTTGTCACAGTAATGCGGGGCTCTGCCGTGATTGACCTTAATTCTTTAACCACTCATAGGACTTTTATGGACAGAGTAAACTTGAAAATTCTTTCTTACTCTTTACGCTGAGTCTATAGAGGAGATGAATTTCGAGTTTACGACTCCAACTGACCTCCTTGTAAATTTAGATCAGAAGCGAGTCTACAGAGGAGATGGATGTCGAGTTTACGACTCCAACTGACCTCCCAACTCCTGATCCAAAAACTGAACCTTAAACAAAAGGTTTGGTGGTGCAGCCAGGAAACGACTGAGTCGCCTCCTCAAGAGCGGGGTACCTTATAAAACCGCCTTGCACCAAATTCTTGAGCGGCGTACGCAGAATCTGTCTCAGGTGGGAGAACAAACGCCCTATGACCAGGTTAGCAAACGTTTGCTCTCAAGTGATGATTCACCAAAACCAGAGGCGAAAAAGCCCTGCACGGCTGAATGTAAGGCATCGTCAGCTGTAGTTGACGTGCAAAAACCGTCATATGGGAAGGTTGTGGGTATCAAGATGAGGATCTTGCAACTTGACCTATCCGACTACCTCATCAATAGAGAATATACTTTGTGCCTGCGCCGCTGGGGACCGAATCAGGTCTTTAGAGTTCGGCAGAGCCGTACTCTTACCATCTGACCTGAAAGACCACTCACTATACAAACTAATCGGCTTCGTTAAGAAGCTGAGTTTATTTGGCCGAGTGTGAATAGGTGTGAGCCATAATAAACCCATGCGGGTTGCAGTGGAGGGTCGAATAGACCCACTCACTTTGGACGTAACCCAACCTAACCCCCTGAATAGATGAATTTTGTTTCATTCAATGATCTTTGTGAGTCACGTCATTTCCCTGATAGTTACAGTGGGATCAACTAAAAAAATGGTGTGTATAATATTATGTGTGATGAAATTGGCCGATACTTGATGAAAATCAATAACTTTTTGAAGTAACACTATGTTGTGAGATTTTCACTATTCAGTTTACAAAACCGCAATACCTGTTTCGTTATATAATAGCTTCCCCAAGCGGTTTCATACTCCATTCTGCTACAATGCTTGATGTTGTATATTCTTCTGATGAGATGAAGATAGTCTGCACCATTGGTTGGGTTTTACAACTTACTTGTATTTTGACATTCTATCCTCGGATACAACGTCAATGATTTTCGCGTGGGTTTTCTTCTTTGAGGGAAAAAGAAAATCCTTGCGACTTATTGGTTCTGTAGAAATATATTCGGGGTTGCGGTCCTTCGAATATAGCAGGACGAGATTATCTGAAGAAATTGGAGATGGTTTGGGGTGGGTGTTACCATAACCTGTAAACAAATATCGAGATTCCTGGAATACTTTCCACCAAAGTTAATATCCTTTAAAAAACTCACGAAGAAAATATTTTTGAAAATCAATCAGGATTATGCAGTAGAGCCTCAGGAATGTAAATCAATTAGTCAACTTCTTACGATCCTGAGAGATTTTAGTGTACATTTTTTGAATGGAATAGATTTTATAGGCATTATTGACTAAATGAATACGTACAGTGTGAAAACTTACTATTCTGCCTCTATATAAAATCTAAAAATATGCAAAAACAGGTCGAACCTATTTTTAAGGGGCACATTCTGTAGGCTAGTTTCCCACCGAACTCTAGCAGGGCGGATTCAACCCCTATGATCTCAAACGTAATTGGAGTTGAGTGATCCCTCATTTTGAAGATCGTTAAGCTACTTTTTCAAAAATACTACATATTTGACTTTCGCAGTATGCGAGGAATTTGGTGAATAATGTAAACAAGTTTAGGTATCAAAAACAATTTGTAACATCATTCTAATGATCCTATTACATAACGATAAGTATTCAAAATACGTTTACTTTCTATGTACAACAAAATAATATAGAAGAAAATTATTATTAGATATAATGTATTTCACCTAATCTAGTTGTTGTGGAATTTGGCCGCGGTGGTAGTGCGTCCGACTCACGATCGGAAGGTCGTGTGTTCGATTCCCGCCTCAACCAGATATTTTTCTCGAGAGAATTCATCTGGTTGAAGCTGGAATGATTCTGCAACCGTGTTAGGAATCACACGTTAAAAGGTAAGACATCGTTAGTCCTTAGCTCGCACAAGTTCCTCAACTTCTGAGAGTTGTCGTTCGTATGGGGGCGGCAGCTGATTTTGTAACATTCACAAATTGAATAACCCACATACCGTAAAAAAAAACCCAGGTTAATCTTCCATTCCCGAGACTATTTCTGGTTGCCAAATCAAGTTATTGTAAAATTGGTTTTATCAGTTAGAGGTTATGCGCTTATTAAATTAGTTTTAGTAAAACCGGGTATATTGCTCGAAAAAGAAATGATCATCATTTTTCGGACGAAGCAGCGTACATGGAGGTTCAGGTATCTTTATTGCAGAACCCATCACACCATTTCGCATTGTGGCAGGTCAAGTATGAATGACTCACAAAACAGAAAATAAATAATCAAGGTTAAATAAATTTCACCTATATGGAGCGAAACTTCTTCAATAGCTTTATGACGTCGCATCCGACAAAATAATTGCATTTTGTAACACAATGACAGATTTTATAAATAAAAACCAAAATATCTGGCACATATTTGCTTTCCTGATGAGTGTACTTTTTTTCACAATGGGTTTGTCAACAATCAAAAGGGATGAAAATCTGCGACGTTTTAGAAAAAGTCATACAAAGTATCCACAGAAAGTGAATTGGAAATACTACTACTGGATATTTATTCATTGAGAACAGATGAGCTCTACTATTATCTGGTTGATGAAAGAATAGACCCCTTAATAACAATGATAACTGCTCCACCATAATTTTTTCCTCTAGTGAGACAGTGGCTAAATGATAGATTTCCTAGAAAATGGGTTGGTCGAAGAAGTGCAAAAATGGCATCACCATCACCCGACTTATCGCCTCTAGATTATTTTATATGGGAAATCTAAAACTGACTGTTTGTGAAACACATCCTGGAGATTTGAAAGATTTGAAGAAAAGAATAACAGCTGCCTATAGACGACTACATTCAAAAGTTTTTGGGATTGTTGAAAGAAGACTTCAAAACTGTTAAGTTAGAAATGAATATCATTCAGAACATTCAACAGGATACATTATTGAGAAAAAAGTTTTTGGCTTTCTACTACTCCATCTTTATACAAAAAAATGTGGAAATCTTCCAAAGAAAGGAAGGAAGTAATCAATTTTAAAATAAGTAACTCTATACATGGATATGTAGGTCATGCAAAAAGTAACTTTCAGACACAAACTGGAAGAAAAAGCCCCCCGAAACAGCTACTTTCCTATAAAGATTGAATTACACGAAAAAAAATTCTTTCGAAACAAATACTTTTATGTGAACACTGAATTATACAGAAGACACTTTTCTCTACTCAGTTTGTATTCCATTCATTTGGAATAAAATCAGATATCAATCAAAGGAAGTTTTTTCTGTAGTGTTGTTGGGTTTTGTATCTGTGAGTATAGATCTCAGTGTATTTTTTGTTTTGAAAGAAGTTCTAACATCATACCTATCTCCAATTCGTCTTTTCAGATAGTCCTGGAATGTAAGGTATAATGTTAATTGTGAAAGGTCTCGGTGAATGTTGAGTCGGTAATTGTTGAATTGAATGTTATTGATTTTGTGAAGCTGTTTGTAGGGTCGCTTGGTTTTTAATCGACTCTTTATTTTCTATTGCTTTTATCGTTGAATTTATATACAAATCTGGATGAGCGTTATCTTTCAGAACAAATTTTATTATTGACATTTCTTTATTGAAATTTTCAGTTGAACCCAAAAAAGGTGGATAAAAAACATTTTTGACTGACTTCGATTCGATTAAGTTCAGCTATTTCGAATGGAATCAAATAGCGAAAACAGTAGCGTACAAAGATTTTCAACCTAAATATCAATAAAGTAACCCTCAGCGACAGCAACACACGCAATTTAATCAAAATCGGTGAAAATAATTGTGAGTTTCCGTTACGAAGAAAGTTGGGACACACGTTAATATGATTTCACCTCCTGAAATCAATGACATCGTTAAAGATACACCATGTATTGTCGTATTGCATTTTAAGAAATACAATACATTTTTTTAAGTGTTATATAAGCCTTTTCCCAAAGATACTTTTTGGTATTGATGATTCATATGCACAATAATTTATACATTGTGTGAAAGCTATTTTATGTTTTTTTGGCCGTGGTAAATGCATTCATAAAATGGGAGCAACAACTTGGTCTCTGCGACCGTTCCCACATCGCCTTTGATCATGTCTACCACAGTAGTTGACGAAATGTCATGCCTGAAAACCTGCATACCACGGCAAAAAACGGAAAATAGCTTTCACACAGTTATCTTTTTTGGCCGTGAAAGTTTACATTCTTTGAATTTATACATTACTAACCTTTTGGTAATTTGGTAATATTAGGAACTAGTGATCTGGTCTGTGTTCTTTCCAATGGATGTCGATGCTGCAAAATTTGATTAATTATTATTATTTCATTTACACGTCTGACTGTTCTCACCCTAGATGTTTGTAAACTATCTCCCGACCCTTTTTCGAATTCTCTTGTGTTGGGGCTCTGTATGGCACTTCCTCTAAAAGCTACAGGAGGATATTCAAGTCTGAAAATGCAAGCATAATCTGAATCGCTTCTCAATGTTTCGAAAAGTGAGATACACGTTTTTTCGGAAATTTCATCTTTGAGACTAAATTTATAGATTCAAATGCAATGAAATAACTGTAGTGAGCTTCAATAGAATATTCAACCAAGTTACATGCGGTAGAAAATGTTGAGAGATACTGATGTATACATCATCTTTTAACATTCAGGAAATATTGTTCGAAATTAAAATGAACAATTCAATGAAAAATGTTGAACTTTACTCTATTGAGACAACAAAATATACATTTTTTGTCATTTTGTCAATGATTTTTGAATAGTTTCAAAGGAGAACCCATCACTTCCCATAAAACTTTGCATACTGCTTGTCGTTATGGTAAAAGTTGCAAAAAAACAATTTAAACCATCTACGTTTTATAGAATCTGCAAGGGCATTGAAGACATAAAAATAACACATCTCCCAAGGCTGTAGCATGATTAGGAGGCGAACAATTGCAATTTGGGTGAACAAGAAATTGAAACTCCATACATTTCCCATTCTAAGTAATATTACATCTGTGATAAAATATACTCTTCCCCGGGAAGTTACCTAACTTGCTTGATTCTACTCAGAGCAGTCAGTATATGTCAATAGTATTCGGCCCATGGCCTTATGAAATGAACTTTCTGAGAGGATTTTTCAATTTGATATAATCTACAGCGATATGTTAGAAGAGAATCTTCTAGAATGTTTAGAAATCAGTAGGTACCTGATATTTAGATACCTCAAATTGTAAAATCAGGTAAATTAGGCATTGCATATGTAGAATATAGTTAGTAAAGACACGTCGTGAAGGGCATTGTATGGCGAAACACGTGTTGCATTTTTGTAAAATTGTTTAGTGAAAATCTCACAATAAAGTGTTTTTTGAATACATAAGGAAACATGACGATCATGAATCAACACACGATGATAAACCAACATAATGATTAATTAGTACTTAGAAATCATTTAACTTCGATAAAAAAATTAGGAATTTAGCGCGAGTCTCTCTGGCAACTTCCAATTTCTATTCATGCCTAGATTGAATTTTGAATGAAAAATTTGCTGAATTTTTCATGAAACATGAGAGATTAAAACGATTATGCAAGTATCAAAGAGTTCTGACAGAAGTTGCTCAATGTCGCCATATCAAGCCTAAATTTCATTACCATTCAATAAAGTACAAAAATTGAAAAATCAGCCTATTTTCACTCTGCTATTTTTTATTAACGTTAACAGCCACTATTTATGCTGCTTTTAGTCGTCTGAATATTTTTCCACATTCTAAGATTTTATTATTATCGTGTAGACACTTTCTAACACTCAAAATGTAATTTCTATAAAAAATCACAAAATTGACAATGCATTCAACTTATGGCATTAAACATTTCATCAAAATATCACAATTAAATTTTCACTTATACACTTACCTCAAATTTAACGAATCAAGATTTCCCAAACAAAATTTGTCACTGTCTTCTGTATCCTTAATATTGCTCTAAATGTCAAAATTAAACGGTTTGTTTCGTGTTGGAAAAGAACTAACAAATGGCTATTCTCACCTCATGCGCCTTGGGAAAACTTCTTACCATTATATGTTGACGATTCACTGTGAATTTTTATTACTTCTAGCCTGTAAACACAATATTTTGCTGTGGATCTTCCAAAAATGTAATCTCGAAACAACAGAATTAAGTTGTCATAAACATGTCAAATATTCGCGAGAAAAGTCAAATATATACCGTCGTTACAGAGTGAATCAGCTGAAATGCAACGATGGTGTGATAATTCAAAACCAATTTCATAGGTTGAAGAAAGGAGATTTTAATTGAAAGAGGTTTATTTTTCAGGAGTGAATATTTGGAAAATAAACTTTTTTGGCTTTCTACTTCTTCTCCTATAAACACGAATATTGTGGGATACTTTCAAAGAAAGAAAGAACGCAAATTAGTTGAATATTAACTCTTCAAAGAGTTGTGTAAATCATGCATAGAGGTTACTTGAATAAACAAGCTGCGAGAGAAAGCCCTCCCGAACAATTACTTTCATATGAATATTGAATAATACTTAAATCCCTTTTTCTTTTTAGTTTGTACTACGACATTCGGTCCGGAATTAAAACAGATATCATTTACAGAAACGCTACACAAAATGATATATGGAAGTTTACGAAATAAAATTTCACTCACATCGAACACTATAATTCTCAATGAGTACTTCGGAGTTTCGGAATTAGGCACTTGTCGTATTACCTCATCAGCACCTTTTTATATGATATTACAATAGGAATATATTCATTAATGGCATTCTAACCTTATTTAAATGTTCCACTGTTCACGATAAAGACTGTGAGATGATGCACTTCTATTCAATTAATTTGTCTTACGAATTCAATCTACGACCTGAGTTGAGTTAATACTGGTATTAGATTTCCTGAGAAACAAAGCTGAAATCATTGTAGAGTGTACCGATTTAATAACAACCACTGATAATATTCCCAAAAAGGCTTGAGGATTATGAAACTCAAACTCTTCAAAAGCAGTATTTCCAAAATCAATTTAGTCATCAGTCGTCAAACTTTTTGTGGGTTTCACTTAATGATTTAGAATCAAATTTTGAAATTTGCCATTACGTTAATGGGTTTATTGTTACCATTTCTTTAATTGTTCAGTAGTTAGGAAGACACTGAAAATATTTATATGAACATTTCTCTTCAAAAAAATCTGCTGGATTTTCCCGAGTTTTCTTCATCATTTGACACTTTAAAAAAAAATGCCAAAACACATTTGTTTGAAAAGTAGTGAAAGATTATTTTTTTAGAATATTCCTAAATTGTATTTGAGTTCTATTTATATCCTGGTGTAACTATAGCTAGCATGTTTATTTATTTTTTTTGTGGTTTATGTGAAAGAATTGGTTTTAAGCATAATTCATTTCTTTATGCGATGTATTGAATAATATTTCATGTTATGGTAAACAATAATTCATTATCGTTATCACCATTATCTTTTTTCATCGAATAAAATGAAGAGTCAGTTCTTGAGCCTCTTGAGCTATTCGAACTCATATATTTTTTTAAGTTTCATAATTTCATGATTCATATTACTTTTTTCTTTAAAATATTTCATCACTGATAAAAAAGTTTCAGTTTCACGAGGTATTTTTCACTCAACTCTTGATAATTCCCTAGGGAACAAAAATGTTTCTGGTTAAAATCATTTTTATTGTTTAATTAAGGTTTCAACATTTACAACAGGAAAATAAATGTAGGTAGTGAAAGTTCTGCACATGACTTTCAGAACTACTTGAAAGTTGATGAAATGGAAATGACTACATATAATTTGAATCGCTATCAGAAGTTTCAACAAATTTTCCATACTCGACCTTGAATGCCTTCTCAATCGATAAAAATATCTGCAATATATAGATGAAACTAACAAATCAGTTGATTCATATTCATTTTTTCAATTTAATCAATTTTGTGAATGTGGTGTTTCCGTTTTTTCTTCGAAAAAAAGGTTTGGCACCGTCATAATAATAAGATAGCAATTAAGATAATAATTAATAAGAAAAAACTGGTTCGACAATAAAGATTTGGAATTTAATGAAGTTTATCATATATTTTTTTTGAATTATTGATACTTTTTTCAAATGCTCAAGTTGTTTATTGGAAAATTTCATTTTTTCGCAAATCCTTTGAAAATTGATTTTTTTCAATTTATGCTTCCACAATAAATTAATTGTCGATTATGAATATACTAACCCGTAACTTGATGAGAATACTCTGTAGCGAAAAGCGTCTTAAAAAATGTATGTGACAATTCTATAATGATTATCATTGATAACATGATAAAAAAGCTTCTTTCAATAAAGTACTTTTAATAATATAACATTCAAAACATAACTTATCACAGCCATTCTTGCAAAAACAGTCTTATATCTTATACATATTTACAAATTTTTAATAACAGTCTTTGTCACCAAGGCCTCCAAACGTTTTCCCTATTTTTTTCGCAATTATCACCAACACTACTACTAACTACTGGGATATTTTTTGGAATGAAGTAGACAACTTCCCCGCTCTGCAGTTTCGTTGGTAATAAAGTGAATCCCATACGAACATTTTCACAGGAACTGTCAGCTGGCCTAATCGCAATAGTTTCCTTTTTATTCGCACTCGGAGTATTTTCCCCAATTTTTCCGTGTAACTGTTGGAGGTATCTCACGGTCATTTCTAGAATATCCGCTTTTTCCAACTTTGCGGTTCTCTGGCCACTTTTCGAACAATCTTTCAACGTAGTTTTGGAATTCAGCAAAATCTGTTTCAGAGTTTCAAGGCTGTCGTTGATTCTAGCTCGCCTTTTCTTTTCCATGAGGGGTTTCCTGATTTTCCGGGTCTCGGACACTACTTGCACTTTCCTCACCTCGGTTTTCATTTTCGGCACTTCACGATACTATCAACTGTTGCGTCAATGCGTACTTAGACAAGAATGATGAACCCTGGAAGGTTCCACGTGCTTTAAAATGATAGTCCTGCCCCCACCTCCATTTCACGTGGTGCTATTATTCTGTACCTGTTGAATGGTGATCTTATGTCAGGCGTAACGTATAGTTATTCAGAGGCAGTGGCATGTCGAAAGGGATGATTCCTTTCGAGTGGGGTGAGTTATAAAAACTATAACCGAATAGGTCGGTCGTTTGATGAGAAACAAAGGACGTTTACACTGATATTATTTTGTGATAATTGTAATGCGTGCAACATTGCCAATTTGTTTTTAATATCGATATGATGGTTAGTTTCGAAAATAAAAAGCATTTCGTATTACGAAACAAAAACTTTATATATGGAATTTGGTTGAAGATATATTGGATTCAGTAGTGGTCATTGAATAGTTATGTCATAAATTCATTTATTCATTTCAGAACTTGGTTTAAAAGCGGGGTAAGTCTCAATGGTAGTGATACGAAAATTCAGCTGATTTTCTAAGCCTTCCTATACAATAATAAAGTTGTCCGATATCAGCAATCTGCGTTCACTATTAATTCCCTGTTTCTCATAAAATGAGAACAATATTGAAATATGAGGGTGTGCATCAGTTACATGTATCCAAACTTCTTTGCTAATATCAAGCAGGTGATGTTTCGGGTATGAATTTTATACCGAAATCGGACCCCTATCGAAACAAAATTGACATTTTGTTTGTAATTTTTGATATGAGTTACAGGGGTGGGCATACATCCCGTATGAAAAACAACTAGTAGTAGTATTCGAAAATTATAAATACCGACTGCAAAATTTGTAGTAATTTGTCTTTTTGTAATATGAAACCTTTGAATGAACTCCGATGACCTTACAATAAAATCAGAAACGAAGTGTATTTTCAATTTGAGAATTTCAACACTGAAGAAATATATTGAAGTTATCTTCCCCATAATCCTTTCAGTTGAGGAAAGTCAAATTGAATAAGTACCCAGCTAGGTTTCTCTAAAGTTCATAAATGCATAATAATTTTGTTCAATTCACTGCAGAGAAACTAACTCAAATTCAATTATAAAAAGTGAACCAATCCCGTAGTATTTGCAGCAACACCTGTTCTTTTGAAATTCATCGATAATCTCTTCAATTTTGACTCAGGTTTCCTTTAATGAATAAAAAAATTGTAGTTCGGAATTTCAGACCTATCGGATTTCACATATCTCAAAAAGAGGTTAACAATGAGTTTGTTTCCCATGCTGGACGATAATTTCATTGGATTTACTCAGTTAACCCCAAATTTGAAGCAGGTAGCTAGTTAGGGCGTTTTACGCATTGCCACCCCTTTTCAATGAAATATACAGAGACATTTTTTCAATGGTAGAAACTACAAAATTGTTATGCCTTATTTCACAATTCACTGCTAGAAGAGGATAGATAAAAAACAGAGTAGATTTCATATTTTGATTATTTTTAAATTATATTTCTACCGTGTTAGGAATCACACGTTTAAAGGTAAGACCTCGTTAGTTCTTAGCTCGCACAAGTTTCTCAACTTCTGAAAGTCGTCGTTCGTATGGGGGCGATAGCTGATTAACGGAAAAACAGATTTTGAACAGATTTTTTAAAACACTATTTAATGTTGGGAAGGTCATTTCTATTGTATATACTGTAATAAAATCATTAAATCAGAACTGAAAATTCCTCTCAATAATTGAGGTGTTGAATATGAAAAACAAAAATAGTTTTTTAGCATTAATTATTCAAAATAGGAATTGTTTCTAAAAAAATCCAGAAAAATTCCTTCATGTACCATTTTCTTCTTTTTGAGGGAGACTTCAATTATCTTCGCCTTTCCAGAGGGATCGCTGAAATTTTAATATTTTTGAATTTCAAGCTGATTTTGGGCAAACTATGTAAACTTGTCCACATCGCTAATATTAAACCGTTATCAAGGTATTTGAGATTTTGTTATGCAGTTAATTTTCTTCAAAATATTAGTTAGTCCAAAAAAGTGAAAAATTTAATTGAAATATAGTCTTTGTTGAACAAAACTGGCATGTTATGAATAAAACAATGTATTTCAATGAACTACAATATCGTGTTTTTACGTCTTGAATAGGATGGAAATCATTATTTTGTTACTTTTTTTCTGTTCTCAATAATAATGGTCATTATTCAATATGACTAAAATGAAAAATAATATACGTGTTCTCTCTCTCGATATTACTGTATACGAGAATTCATCATTGAACCTGAATAACAATTCTTTCATCCCGGGTTTGCCTGCAGCTGAAAAAGCTGAAATCAATGAAATCGCCCCGAGCGCAATTAATTTTTGTGTTTCATAATTTCATGATTTGTATAACTTTCTTCTTTAAGAAATATCTATTCATTCGAAATGCAGAAATTTTAACCAAATACTGAAATTATAATGAATATCACGTGAATATTTTGCAAATTCATTTCAAGAATTGATCGTTATTTTGTTTATTACTGTTTCAAAAATTTTTGATTTGAGCTTCCCCAATTTACTGCATATTGAGGAAAACTTCTTGCATTCTTTTCTAGTTCTAACAGGGGTTGCATAAATTGTTTGCTTCAATTCCCCTCAAACGTAAAAATCCATCAGTGTATTTCAATCAGGACTACAGTGTGTAATATGGTGTGTGAATTGGTTCTATCAATTGAGGAGAGATCTTCAGAAGTTCACTCAGAAAAAGTAACCTCAGAAGTCAAAACTTGTGCGAGCAAAAGAGTTACCTCATCCCACCTTTCAGTGTGAGACTCTTATTCCAGAAAATTTAAATATTTTCTACCATCAAGAGCACCCTACCCTCAATTCCGTCAAGTCTCAACATTGTATCTACCATAATTCTAGCTCAAATGATAATTTTATAGGAATAAATAAAATTGTATTCTATTGTCCGATGTGAATTCTATTATACATAAATATGTGAATCATCTATATTGAAAAAAATGTATTGTACAAGATGACTAAATCAAGTATTTTATCATATATTGCATAGCGAAACACGTGTTGTGTAAACTGTCCGGAGAAAATTTCACAATAAAGTGTCTGTGAATGATATTATATCCATAGGGCACATTATTCCAGAACATACAGTATGATGTTTCCTGGTCGGATATGGAGAATAGAACTGGCCGATATTTGATGAAAATCCACATTTAAATTCATCAATAGAGTTTAATGTTTGATTTTCACTATAAAGGGTTTTACAAAAACCATGACACGTGTTTCGCTATACAATAGCTTTCTCAAACGTTAATAATAAGTTAATTCAAAATTACAACTATTTTATACTCTAACTACTGGTTTGCCTATTTTCTAATGAATGAATCTACCTGAAAAGGTTAGATATAATTTCATTAACTATATGAATGAATTAAATTTTCAAAAATATCGTTATTATAATTAGCTTTTCTCACCTAGAAATAAACACATTTAATAATGGCGAATTAGTCAGTTCAGTTCGATCGTTCATAGGATATTGGTATCATAGGAGTTTTTGAATTAATTTATTTCCATACTCTCCAACAGGTTAAGTTTTGAACCTTTCTTCTGAAAATGGAGAGGCTTGAATTCATGAATGAACTCATCTATGTGATTAAAAGAGTGTTCCTGTGTTCCTTTATGCAGGCTTTGAACGTTCTTCCAGTTTGACCTATATAAAACATCGGACATGATTCCGATTTTTCTGAAACTGAACTTTCATCGTTATTATTCTTAATATGCATGCATGAAAGTTCAGTTTCAGAAAACTCGGGAGTGTATAAATTAGCATGTGTGTCATGTCCGATGTTTTATATAGGTCAAACTGGGAGAACGTTCAATGCCCGCATAAACGAACACAGAAATAGTTTCCAGAATGGAAAAATAAACTTCCCATATGCCACTCATTTAATCACAGAGGTACATGAGTTCAACCATGAATTCAAGCCCCTCCATTTCCAGAAAAAAGGTTTGAAACTTACCCTGTTGGAGAGTATGAAAATAAACAAATTCAATAACTCTCAATATCCTATGAAAGATCAAACTGTAGCGAATAAATCGCCAATATTGAATCTGCTTATTTCCAGGTAAGAAAAGTTAAGTATAATCACGATATTTTCGGTAATTTAATTTATTCATATAGTTAATGAATTTATACCTGACCTTTTCAGATAGAATCATTCATTAGAAAGTAGGCAAACAAGTAGGTAATATGTTGGAGCATAAAATAGTTGTATTTGAGAAGTAACTTATTATTAACGCTAGAGAAAGCTATTGTATAGCGAAATAAGTGTCGCGGTTTTTGATTTTTTTTTAACAGAAACAGATTTTTTAAACAGAAACTGTATCAATGAGTTTCATTAGAAGCACTATTTCATCACTTGATTCAGAGTACCTAAAAAAGTTGTGTTAAAATTTTATAAAAATATATTGATGAACAATAATGAAAATAGTCAATAATCAAAAATATCAATAGAGAGCTAAGAAAACTATTTGTTTCTAATTAATTGAAACAATAAACCACTACTGAATTTCACTAGTTCGGACTTCCATTGTTCAATATGATTTTAATACGATTCGAAATCTATGAAAGAACAAATAAAATTAAAAAAAATAGCTGAAGTATCAATTATATATAAGCAGTAGAACGTGTTATGAAAATACAATAAAACGAATGAAATAAAATAATCAAGATGAAAATAGAGTAAAAATAAATGAGAAAAATAAAAAATGAAAATGAGCAAAAAATTTAAATAAAATGAAGAAGAAACACAATAAAAAATGAAAGATAAAAAAATAAATAGAAACTATAAAAACATTTCAAATACAGTTTTTTCACGATGTTTCGATTGTATCCACAATTATCTTCAGGTGATGACTAAGTCCGAACTAGTAAAATGCACCATGAAACATTGTCAATCACTTTAAAACAAACCACTACTGGTTGA